CCAATTCACTCCTTTACCTTGCTAAGCCAGTAACAAGACTGGTAAAGAGGGACGGTTGGGCATCCTCATACCGTAAAAATAAATACCACTGCTACCGAAACCTCCAGCCTCTAGCTTAAAGCCCTATATTCCACTGGGAACGTAAGGGAATAAAGTAATTTCATCGGTGTGTTGATTTGACCTCTGCCAACTGACATCATCAGTATACAATTGGTGGATGGTGGCTAGCAGTGGGATCCAGGATGCGCATTTCGTCCTATTTGGGACTAGTCATCTGGATGTACCTGCATTTCTCAGTGAGTGATGATGTTCCCACCGAGGCTCGAACCCAGTACCCATAGTTTCAAACGCGTACTGGGTTCGAGCCTCGGTGGGAACATCATCACTCACTGAGAAGTGCAGGTGCATCCAGATGACGAGTCCCAAACAGGACGAAATGCGCATCCTGGATCCCACTGCTAGCCACCATCCACCAATTGTATACTAACTAAATGCCCGGGCATCGTCGAAGCATCTGCACAAGAAGCCGACATGTCAACCTGAGACCGAGCACTTCGGTCCAATCAATCGACGGGAAAATCAAAAATTCAATTCAATGAAATCACCAGTATCCACGCTTTTTGGAGGTACACTTTTATGCGCTACGTTCTGTGCCAAATTGCTTAATTGGGACTAAAAAGTAAATTCAGTAGTAACTTCAAAGACACCAGACATTATAATCCTATAACTTATGTTATTGTGTTTTCGCATTAGGTGAAGATTCCACACGTCAAGAGATTCACAACGAAAAACTCAGCGAAGCCCCTGAAGTAAATAGAGGAGTAAGACAAGGCTATCTACTTTTACCAATGATATTCCTGATTGTGGTGGACTGAGTCACGTGACTGACCATGAGGATCCAGAAGAAGTGCATGCGGTAGACTGACAAGAAGATTCGGAGCTTGTGGGCGATTTATATATAATGTCGCACAAATTAGAAGATCTACAGGCAAAAACCAACAAATTGGCAGAAGACCCACTCGGAATCCCGGGAAATAATAACAGTTATTATTACATGTTAAGGTCATAATGATTTTAAAGCATTTACTGCATTTTGGTATGATTGTTTTCCCTGAGCTACCTGGTTTAATTGTGAATCTTACACTCTCCTTCTAGATGACATATTCAAGGCTAACTCCAGCGTGAAGTCACCTTATCTACGACGAGTTTTACCAACACTAACACAGTCCTCATTCAATAAGAAGACTTTGTAGTATACCCGTCTTCCAAATGATAATGTGTCTGAAAAATCATTCAGTAATTACCACTGGATTGTTATGCAATGCAACATAAAGTTAACTAATATTGAGTCGAATTTCTTCTCAGAAATTTAATAATTTCCCCTCAGTACTAGTCTAAAGAAAGTCATAGAGAAAGAAATTCAAGGGTATTTGAGGAATAATAAAACGTGTCTGAGTGTGCTCAGCTGTTATCTGATTTCTCGCAATTCGAATATTTCAGAATAATAGGATAAATTTTTTAGAAGACAAACAACCATTATACCCAATAGTTCTGGTGTGACCCAAGATTTTCTGGTCGAAAATTCTATGTAGTTATTGATCTAAGTAACACGATGGACCATTACCTTATAATTCAGTTTGTCAGAAGGAGTCATTCGAGGTGGATTTCTTTTTCTCCCTGATTTCGTCCTCATTGACGCACATTAGGAAACCGAATCTACAAACGAAAAATGATTCGTGTTCTTTCCAAGATCTCATGTTACATTACTTCGTAGTGACATTTCCACTAAGCTGTCTGAATCATGCATGACTCCTGTAGATTAAAATGGTCTGTGCAATGTATCGATGAATAAAGCTAAACACCCACGTCTATATATAAGGTTTAAAACTCGTTTCAGTCCTTCAATTCGTAGAAGTAATATAAAAGCCGTAATACTTCAGATCTGCATCTCCAAAATGAAGCCCGAGGACAATCAGTGTTAAGGAAACGTTTTAATAATGAGCATCCATGAGAAAAGAATTTAATAGGAGCTCAGCTCCCTACTAGGAGACCTCTAAAGTCTATTGTCGTATGGTTTTCTGATCTAATTATTAAAACAACACTTAATGAATAATGGAAAAACCTTTAAATCTCTAGGGGAAATTATCAAATATCCGAGTTTTCCTCTTGATAAGTACTTAAGTTCATTATGCTACATGCTACTGACTATTAATGTGACTGGTTGGATGCCTCTTGCATCAACCAGTAGGGCCTAATACCCAAATCGAATTGATCTAAACTCCAGATGATCACTTCTCTCGTTTGGAGTCGAGCTCATCAACTGTGTAGTTAGTTTAACTCGACTCAGAGATCACTGAACACTAATTTTAATGTGAATTCCATTGTAAATCAATATGGTTTAAACTAACAAAGACCTGGAATCCCTCTTGTTCCAATTTAAGATTCATTGGTTGGTCAAGTTAAACTTTAAGCACCACTAAATACCAATGGAGTGCGACTGCACCAATGACCTTGAAACGCTCACTGAGCAAGTTAGCGAAACCCGGCAAATAATGTTGTCATCATCAGTAAAATATGCTCATCGAAGTGTTACGCTATTAAATGGGACATCTGTCAAGTTTCAGCTTAGGTTTAGGAAAGATTAAGTTACATTTTAAACCAAGGCGAAGTTAGGGTTAGGGAAACCTAATAAAGGCGACATTAGGGTTGATTTGAGTTAGATTACAGTTAGTTTAGACATATATTCACGTTAGGGTTAGGTCCAGGAAAGATTAGGGTTATTGTTAGGGTTAGAAGACCTAAATAATTACATGCATAGAATGTGGTTAAGATACACTGTTGATATAAGAATAGAACTTATGCACTGTGGTAGAGTATAATTCCATTGTGGGTAAAATTCATATTGATAAAGTCTCACAGTACTATACAGTAATATTTGCCGATGACAACGTTTCGAGCGCAATTTATTACTCATGAAATATTACTGTATCACAATGAGACTTAATCAAAATAAATTTGACTCACAATTAAATTATACTCTGTTGATACTCCAACCTAAAACTGAGAGCTACTTTTATCACATGTGAGAGTAGGGTATCCTCTGTAACACTTTTCTACAGTTTTTATGCATTTTTTTCATAAATATTTGTATTTCATACACAAAAATGCCCTCTTCACGTGATTGATGCGTCCGAGGTCCTTTGCTGATTGGTAGTTAGTTGTGCTGACAGCTTAACTTTTCTCACTAGCTGAATGATGATAATGATGGTGATGTGTTTTTCTGAAAGCGCTAATATTTGTGGATTTTATTTGTCATGGGATCACAGGTTTGCGTTTCAGGAGTGTTACGTGTCAAGACAAATTAGATATTTAGTGTTCTTTGTGTTTTAACAATTCTTTAGCCAAATATATGTTTTAACACGAGATTCATATTTATTAGCATAATCTATTATTATTACCTCAAAAAGACACCTTAGAATAATTTTATAATGAAATAAAGTAGTCTTTATTAAAAATTATTGTAATCATCAATACTATTCGTGTTCAGAACTGTCAATAGATAATCTCTAAAATATCTAGCGATCGATTGAACATGGATCATAGTAAAGAGGAGAAACTTTGGCGATATTGCTTCCTTTCACATTTGTTCACGGTATCTGTCATCTAGAATTACTGAAGATAGTCTATTTATCTAATGTTTTGTTTTCTCTGACTAACTTTCCCGTTCACTTACTCTCTCTCTCTCTCTTTCCTACTCCATTAGTTTCAATCAACCAGATCTGTGTAGAAAATCGTTGTAGTGAAGTAAGCACACGATCTCATCCCTTATTTAAACGAAAATTAGGCGTGAAGTAAGACAATGTTAATCAAATGCCTTATGTAACATGAAATCGAGTGATTGACCATGGAATTGGTGGTTTTTAAGCTCGCTGTAGCTGAGGTTGACATTAAACTTGGATTCTTCATCACTATAACATACTGGCATTTTTCTTCCTTAAAATATTATTTTACTATGTAACATTTTGAATTTGTTTAAAGTTAGTTATTTGTTGGCTGTATTGTTGTTTGCATAATCAGTGCAAATAATCCTAAGAGTAGTAGTATTAGCAGAACTAGCGATATTATGGCTCGTGCTACTGACAAGATTTATCAGTAGTACATAAAGAGACATTCATCGGCATAAAAATATCAAGTATCGATGAGATAGATTTGACACTAATGAGAGGAAATGATTCAGTATTACAGTAAAAAATGGGAGACACGAAAAGAAGACAAAGAAATTCAATACTAAAGGCAGAAGTAGTAAAACATGGAAGATCTATGAAAATGACGATTTTCATAAAAGGTGAACATAATTTCCCTATATAGAGATATGGAATTCCAAGTAAACATACCTTTACCAAGTCTCTTGTCTTCTACCCTTACAATATTACTTCAAGTAATAAGTAGAAATAAAATGCGACAATGAACGAAGCAACAACTTATAACTGGCGCAACAAACATGTGCAAGGAAATGAAGACGGATTACACATAGTCTGGAGGGACTGTCAGGTGAAATCACTCACGATGAGCATGAATCCCATGGTGGTAGAGAAAGGATCACATGCGTAGGAAATGAAAGCAGTTGAGGATCTGGTTTAAAGTGATGAAAGAGAACCTCATTGACAAGTGAATAAAATAAGAATGGAAATGAAATGCAAATATACGCGCAACTTGAAAATATAATATACACTTTCTAATGAGATAAGTGGTGAAGACTTTACCAAGTATATTGATGAAATATCCACGATCGAACATCAGAGCTAGAAGAACATCAGACAGTCTACAATGCGTCTAAAGTCAGCGGCTCCCTCTTATTAACTACTGTCAAATACAGACTACCACGACAAGTGAAATAATATGCTGATCACTGACTATAAATACATACTAACCTGATAAGTTATTTCAGGGTTCAGGGATATACATATATCATTTTAATATACATATAATTATTCACTTACTAAATTCAATAAGAAATCCATTCTTATCAAGAAGATTAGCAACGAAGAGTATTCATTTTCAGTGAATTCATATTTATGGAATCAATAGATTTGGATTATACAAGATAATAGTGTTATCACACGACTATATATACCGAAGATGTCACGTGATTTAAAAGTATCAATGATAATAAAGTACTTTAAAGGAATCAGATTTTCTTGATTGATTGATTATGAAAGTATAAATATAAAATGATCAATAATATTTCACCTTCCCTGGTAAACTGACTTAATAACTTCACCAACATATTTTATTTTGAAATTTGTTATAAAGTGAGTACTAACTAAGTTTTCTGATCTAATAATGAGACGTTCACACCTACGTATATGTTTACATTAATGAATCCCGACAAACTCACGAAAATTAATCTGATGCTCGCTAGTGACTGCATGCAAAACGAAGTTGCCTGGAGGAGTTCTAGTGAGAAGCCGTGACCAATAAATGGGTTCCACCCAGTCGGCATTGGGGTGAAATACTCGTCAGCAATGACACCGACCGGTGGAAAACGCTCAAAAATCACAAAGTGACTATTGAATCGAGTCTCAGTGGCTGAGTGGTAAACGAGCTTTTCTTATAACTGGAAGGCCCTAGGTTTGAATCCTGGCGATGGGTGTGTACTGTCGATTAGTCCTAAACGAGGCTAACGAGATAGATGTCCAGTACTCCCTGGTTTTCAATGGTTCTCTAACTGATATCAATCCGTGATCAAACTTGAAACAGAATACAAAACAGTTATCGACTCAAATCAAATTCAAATTACTTATAAGAAGTGCATTTGAGCGTACATTTATCTAGTACTTGACAGTAACTAATGTCATATAATCACCAAGCTAAGCGACATATTATCACATATGTTATCAATCGTCATGAAAGTAAATAACTCATTTATAACTACTCTAAACACAGCCTTGTTACACAGGTTTGAGTCCTTAAGTAAACATCAATTTCCTTCACAATTGTAGATATGTCTTACTAGTTCATAAATACTGGCAAGTACATAAGAATAGTGAGCCTTGATCCTCCCCCCTAGCTTTCTCTTCAATTACCTAATATCAGTGTTTATTACACCTGATCAATCAATAAAAGTAACTTATTAGATTACAATGAAGTCTATAAAGATTAGTTTGATATTTGTAAATTAAACTTACTGACCAATAAATTTATTAATATTAATTTTAATTTACACTTAATTAAAAAGGATTAGATTTATACATAACGCAAATGATCAATACTACTACTAATAACCATTGAGTTATTTTTCGCTTTTCTTTGCGATAGAAGATACTACTGATTGGTATGAGTAGTTGGAAACCGTTCACATTAAACAGTACTGCTTGCTAGCCCAATTGAAGTTAAGCAAACACAACATGGTTGTTTCGCTCTTTTATGGTCCAGCTAACCAGAGATGTACCAAGGCTCGAGTTAGCTAAGACAACTGAATCAGTTTAAACCATTCGTATTCTGACTAGTTACCTGGATTTGACTGGTAACATATAGGATTATGATCGAAATTCACTATTCATAGTATCAAGCACATCAGATATTGTCATTTTGAATATTTGTGATTGGGACTCTTCATCAGTATGCACCCACCGGGTCTGAGGACAAATACTCGCCGAAGACATTGGCTAGCGGTCGCGCTATATCGTGAATTGGCAGAAGTTGGAATTCATCGGACATTGGGTAGGATCTCAGTGGCCTCAGAGTCTAGGAGCTCGACTTGTAACCAGAAAGTCCCTGGTTCGAACCCCTATGGGTGTGTAGTGCTGAAGAGTCACAAACTAGGCTCATGAAATAGATGTATAGTACTTTCAGCTGGTTTTCCAACGGTTTTCTAACTGATGTCAGCTCATGATAAAATCCTGCAACCAATCAAATAATATGACTCTATTTCCCTTCGTTAATAAGAAATTTCAATGTCGTCACATATGAATACAAAGGAGTTAGTAACTGTACTTCAGAAATTGAAAAGGAAGAAATCTAGGCCTACAACATAAATTGTAATTATTCAGTGTCAAAAAGTAGGCGGCTTGATGGTAAAATAGTCTAAAAGTTTGAATAAACCAATATTAGCAAGTTTGATATAGTAATAAATATATTTTATTTCTTGATTAGTTTATAGGTCTTGCCTTGATTAATTATATCAAGGGATAGAACAGTCCGAAAATTGTTGAAGAATTCTATTCTACCTTCTTGTGTAAAGACTCTGGTGAGTGTGAGACAAGTTTGACTGTCGAATACCTCATCAAAAAAAAAAACTACGACGCTCTCTCAAGAAATCCAATATTCGAGGTGCAAAAAAATTTATAAGAGGTGGTCAGTTTGTTTTCTATCTTCTTCATATGTGGAAATTCTTAATCTTCTGTATTTGTCTCTTGTCTCGTAATTTAGCTATTTTCCTGACTTTTCGATTTGACCTCCTTTATGTTCAATTAATTCAAGCCTACTGTTTACTCAGTTCACTATCTATCCACTTAATAATCCATTAGATTCCACTGTGATGAATATTTTCTCAATGTTAGATAATTCGTGTTAAAAAAACATGCAAACTGTCTTAGATTCTGTGTTCAATAATCTATGATAAATTCTGAATAATTTCACTCCATCTATAACAAATACGAAGTTTTAAAGCGAAATTTACCAGGATATTACAGAAGCGAGAATAAAATTGAAAATCAGGCAGCGATTAACAGGACTAATCGTCATTGTCTGAAATTTTTCAGTAGTTTACGTATGCAGGCGAACCTCGACTCACTCTATCTACAAAACCAATGATTCTAATAAAAGTGAAACTTAAGCTACTTCTGCTGGCTTCATAAATGTATCTTTATTGACCATGGCTAGCGTCTGTCTTCCGAAAGTAACCTCGAACATTTATCCGTGTGGTTTTGTAGAAGAGTAAAAATAATCTCCCCTCGGAGCTATTCTGGAACACCTAATCAATTCTTGACACATAGTGAATTCACAGACCGACTTAAGAATCACCTACAGAAAAAGCGAAAATTCTGCCAAAGATTTAGCCTGGAAATGGCATCTTTCCTTTTGTTGGCACAATAATGTATCACATATAAACAACTGTGAGTAGTTGGTCGTCTCATATCCTGTTGATTTATAAGCAAATATTTCATTTGACTTATTACATAAAATAATTGTTATTATTATCCTATAATTTAAGAAAAACTCCTCTTCACTGAAAGCCTCTTACATCTTTTTGGTAACTTTATGGGGATTTTCAAGCTACATTAAAAATACCTCCAGGAATCACATATTTTTTTAAGAGAGTAGATTATCATACAGTTAGTTATTAGCAATTTTATGCTTCGACCTTGTCATAGATGGACATATTCCTGATATCTACATAATATAATAAATCTAACAAATGTCGCGATATAAGACTATAAAAAGGTCATTGTAAAATAAACCACATCAGTCTTCAGTTTGTCAATATTATAGTCCAGTATCGTCGATACGTTTTTTTACAAGTTTCATCTTGCCTCCTTGACTGAATCTAGACGCTAACAGAGAGCATGAAACTGTTATTCAGGGGATTGCTTTGTAAAGAAATTGTTAACTCCAGTGGGATTTTCGGCAAAAAAACATATATCAACTGCAAGATCAGTTTAGCTTTGGGTTCTGTCTTATACGCGACCATGGATGTTGACTGATAAAAACGATCGAATAGTAACAAAACACATATTCCCATAGTTACTGTAGTTTTGATTACCCTTTCAACTCCACCCCACACTTCACATTGATTGAAAATCACTCTACTGCAGAATAAACGATCCATCCTATGTATACATAAGAAGTTATAACTTTACAGTTGAAAGAATCCATTGTTTCACCCATAAGTGGTATGGATAAAGCTGATAAAGCCAGGCTGGTTTTCACTACTCCGAGGTCGGTGTGGAGATCTTCAGAATTCATCACAAAGAACAACATCTGAATTTTCGATTCTAATATATTTCTAAATTATTCACAGACTTATCACGCTTGCCATCAGAAGCATTTTCAATATCCTTCATCAAGAGATGTCTACTTCACCTCGAATATATGATACCTATCAAGAAAGATAAGCAAAATAACAAGGAATACTGGTGAGCAGTGAACTAGCCAATAACTTATATCCAGCTAAACAAATATTCAGAAGGAAGTGGAGGTGAATTAGACGTGCATTGTGGAGAGCCCTGAATGACATTATGTATCAGTTAGACCGTCAAGTGGAACCTAAATGGGAGCTACCGAGATGAACGACAGCTGGATGCTAACACGGAGGGGAACAATAAGAGGAAGAGCTCAAATCTTGTGGGAAGTTGTGAAGTATCTTAGTTCTTTGTGAAGTCACTTGAAAATGATGGTGAAGAACACAGTACATTGTGGATGCGCTGATGATGTCCCATATCTCATTCAAAATGCAGGAAATGAATAATAATAATAATGATAAAATTACATATCCCAAGTGTTTCTTTATTTTTGGTTATCTAACTTTGACAATCATTTCTCCGTAGATTAAATGATCCGCCATAGATGTGCATGAAATTGTAACGTCGTAATTGAAGGAATCAGTCAACCAGCCTATAAATAAATTCGACTGTCTTTTGTGAAATGCATAGCACTTTAAATGAATTTTTGAAAAAAAGATCAAATTAATTAATGTAACTAATCGGTAATCAGCTACTACTTTATTTGTAAATAAGTAGTCATGTTCTTATATGAGAATTTCTATGTGAATAGTTGATTGAATTAATTTTTGCCATATGACTAATTTATTAAAAAGAATGGAGTATTTATGTATTTTTTCGCGGTGTAAACCAAAAATTTAGTTCTCCATAAAAATCTTTTAGATTTTTACTTCCGATGTTCATGACACATTTTCGGGTTTCATTTCATAAATTCATCCCGTACACCTGGTAAATGGGACGATTGCAGAATCTCTCAGAATGTTTCACTGTGTGTAATTCTGGTCATAAAGGAAATGAATCTATTGGAAGTGAAAAATCAATCCATCGCCACCAAAGTTCTTTAGATTAAAAGTTACGTATGTTAACTGGATTGTTATGGAAGTCTGAAAGGCAGACTTAAGGATTACTGTTGTCATTTAAGAGTGGTAATAATATTTCCAAGTGCTGATTGGGTGGGACTTGACTGA